CGCCCTTCGCGTCCCTTGCCGCTCCGCAACACAGGCGACTTGTGCGGCATCTCGGGTGATGGCTGCTGCTGCTGCTGCTGCTCTGGACGCGACGACGCAGCCGCCGCCGCAGCGAGCGGCTTCTCCTCGTCCTCGGAGGAGAGCGAGTCGGAGCTGAGCGATGAGTAGGAGACGCGCCGGCGTTTCGGGGGCGGCTCGCCGTCGCCGTCGAAGGCTTCGCTCAGGAAAGAGGAAGCGGGCGAGAGCGGGCCTTTCTCCTCGGATTCTGAAGGGACTGCGCACAGGAGTTGGTGAGAAAGTGAAGGAGCGTAAGCGCTAGGGTTGTGCGTACCCAGCGAGCCGAGAATATCGGAGGACGGGCTGTCTGCCGCCTCGGGCAGCGTCATCTGCTGTCGCAACGACTCGATGTCGTTGTTGGTGTAGTCGAAGTCGAGGAGTCGATCGTCATCCTAAGGCCAGAGGACCAGAGGAGGTCAGACGTGAGCCAGCTAGTTAGAAAGATGACTTCACAGCCAAGTACCTACAGATGAGCGTCAAGATTGGGTAGAAATAGGACAGAATATTCGCCGATGGCTCACCTGCAAGAGTTCATCAATGCGCACGGCTACACGGCCTCGGCGTTTGAACTCGTCGCGGCTGATCTGGGATAAATCCGCGCCGTGGTCTGCGGCCTCGTGTCCGCAGGCACAGCTGGAAAGGTAGCCGCAGTCGTAGGAGTCGTCCGAGTCCGGGACGAGCTCGAACATGGGCGGCGGGTGGAGTCCGGGGCATATTTCGGCGGTGCAGATGGAGCAGGGCGAGTGCCGGGCAATCTTGAGGGCGAGGGCGGCCTCGGAGAGGGAGGGGATGTGATGCGAGGTCGGGTAGAGGGCCTTCATCGCTGCGGGTGTGAGCGACGCGAGGCGGGGGCTGTGCGCGCTCGTCGACGTTGCGGACAACTGCCAAATCGCGGCATGGCGCGAGCAAGCGCCAAATCACGTGACTTCCCGAGCGCCACAATGCTCAAGCTGAGACTCTGATCGCAGTCGCTGGTCCTCGCCCCGGATCCTCATCTTTCTGCCCTGCGTTGTCTGCGCCGCCCATGCGCCGCCCCAGTCCACTCCTTCAGGCTCGGTCGCTCTCTCGATACCCATCATGCTGCTCCAGCTTCACGCTCTCACTCTCACTCTCGCATGGATACCCACAGCCCTCGCGCAGTGGTTGCAGTATCCGCCCTCGGGAACAGCGACCATGACTCACTATACCTTGCCAGATAACTACATCGCGGCCTGCGGCTGCACTGCAGACAGCACTCACTACCCGACCGCCGCCATGAGTCAGGCAGCCTTCGGGAGCAGCATCGCCTATGGTCCAGCTTGCGGACGCTGTTTCAACTTGACCCTCTTGAACACGTACACGCCAACTCCTCCATTCTTCCCCACTGTTGCAAGTAGTGTGGTGGTCAAGGTCACCGACCTGTGTCCTGGTGGAGGGACTGGCTTGTGCTCTGCCACGCCTGGCCATCCCAACTCGTGCGCATGCTATTCATCATTGGAGTACAATGAGATTGACATTACATGTAGAGGAGAGCAATACATTAATTTCGACCTTGCTTGGCCTTCGTCTTCAATTTCTCCCAATTTCTTTCCTAGCAATGTCTCGCTTTATGGATACTCAGTACGTGGCCTCCCTCTCTTCCCGTATCCCTCTTGTCGACATACCTGTTCGTTATTTAGGATTTTGGCGTCTGGAACGTCAGCTACGAGATCGTATCCTGTGTCGACGACTGGGCAGGCGGTCACAACGCGGCCGCGCTCGGTAGCATTAACCAAACCTACGGGGTCTGCTGCCCTGCGAACCCCAAGTATGGATATACCCTCATTTGGCATATAAATCCCTTACAAATTGCGAATATAGCTCAACTGACCTTTGCCCATCCTATTCTGACGACTCTAATGCTCAACCGTGAGTCCCCCTTATCGTCTGCCGGAATACAGTCTCACCCGAGTCCCAGGCCCGACACTGTTACGAGTTCTGCCATCAGCTCTTTCTCAGGCTTCTCTTATACCATTGTCACATTATACCTTCTTGTACGCGGCACGCTATCGCTGTGATCATCTTGCTTGTACACTCATTTTAGGCGGAACCTCCCTGTATCACAGCTAATTGTACCATGTGGGCCAACGTTGTTCTCAATGACGAGACGAGGTGTGGCTATGCTCTTCTAAGCTTTAACGCGGCATAATATGTCTTTCTGTCTGCCTTTTCCAGGTCTACCGCAGCAAAGCCCCGCATGCCATCAGCTCTTGCCGAACAACGTGTTGCGCCCTGCATCTTGAACGGCTCGTCTTATTCTTCGTGCGGCGACGAGCATCTTTCGGAGGTCGTCGCGTCGTGGTCACGAATCTAGCTGACAGCTCTGACGGACAACTGACGAGCGTGCGTCGAGTCACCTGCAACGGTTCTTGTATCGATTCGGACAGCGCAGAGCTAGAACAAGACATTACAAGGATACCTTTATGCGGACCTCCCCTAAAGGATACCCCCGGTGACCAGTGGCGCCATCTTGACCACCGTACTATATGCAGGAAATGCTGCACAGGACGTCTGCAGAGTATAAAGAGGCATGAAGAGCCCTTTTCCTCTCCAACACACCTCGAGACATATTCACATCGTATCTCAGCTCTCATCGACTCCATTCATGGCTGCTTTCAAGCTATCAGATGTGTATCACGTCAAGATCCTTTACATCAGAGTATGGACATGGCTCCAGATCTTGTTAAAATGCTGACCGACGTATCTGTGGCCCCAGGCAGAGGACACTATTTTCGAGATCGACGAGCGCATCGTCAAATTCAACTCGCCTATGCTCAAGCAGAGATTGGAATCTGAATATGGATGCTCGCAGCCGGTATCGGAGCCTCCGTACGGTGAAGGCAGTCATAGGGAGAATCCGTTGACCTTCGATGATATCACCTCCGAAGACATGAAAACCGTACTGGACGCAATTTGTCCAAGGCATGTTTACCGTGAAGTTGCGTGAACGCTCAAACGGTACATCTCTTTGACTTCCGAGCCGATTTCCAGCTATAAGATTGACATGCCAGCCTATGACACACTGCCAGTCGAAAGCCCTCCACCCCCAACTCAGGACTGGCTTACCGTTGTGGAATTCGCACATCGATGGGACTTCGGCGCAGTACACAGCATCTATCTGGACAAACTGCGGTGGGACATCGAAGACCCTGTCGATAGAATCGCACTTTACCACAAGTATACTGTGCAGCTCGACAAGCCGTTTGGGCTAGCTATCGAGAAGCTTGTACGACGAGAGCAGGATCCAGCCGTCGAGGAGATTGGGAAGATCGGGCTGGACAACCTGGTGAGACTTTGCACCCTCCGCGGGCTGTATCGCTGCTCGCCGGACTTGAAGGACTCTGATACGCTGTGTCAGAAGATCAGGGAGATGTGGAAGTTTAAGGAGCGGCGTTGAAATTGCATATCTCCCCGTCACTAGACATTCAAAGTTCATGTATACTTCCCGCTGCGTCGAATCCGAATGCCGAAGTGCTTGCTAAGATCGGGGTGGACAACCTGGTGAAGCTTTGCAGCCTCCGCGGGCTGTACAGCTGCTCGCCAAATCTGGAGGGCGCAGATAGACTCTCTCAGAAGATCAAGGAGATGTGGGATATTCAGGATTGGTACTGAACCTGTGCACGACTTTCGTACAGAATATCCCAATAGTTTGTGTATGTTCCTATTGTATGCGGCACGGGCACTCCATCACTAGTACTATAATCGCCTCACCTTGCTGTCTCCTTCGCCCAGCTTAGACGGGTTGCGACTTGTATCTCAGCCAATTGTATTGTGTGAACCGATGATTTAGTGGCACTATTGGTGATGCTTTGAAACGGCATAGTAGAAAGTCGTGCTATACCCGGGCCACAAGTACGCTGCGCCGATTGACAGGCAGTTCGCTCCGTCTATCGAGGAGTTGGTATAACAGAAAGAGAATCCGAGTGCCGAGAAAATAGGGAAGCTGGCGGGCACCCTTGGCAGTTGTATACAGGAAAGGAGCGTGTTTTGGGCGTCTCGGGCACGCCCCGCAGGGGCGCGATGCCGGGAGCACTGTGGCTTGGGAGAGCGAGGCTGCAAAGCTTCGAAGGCTCACGGTCATATATCCTCAGCCTGACCCGCTCTCCGCTCCCTCTTAAACCTGTCTGCCTCGCTTTGGATGTGCACTCCTCGTCCGCGACGACACTAGTGGCCTCCCTCCATGTTCTACTCACGGCCCGCGCTGTTGTTCACGTCATGGATGCTAGTCTTCGCTGTCATAGGATCGTCACTCTGGTCCTCTGTACAAGCTTACATCCCCGCATCACCCACAAACGATACTTTCCCAGACGATAATTCCACCAGCCCCTCACAACTCGTCCTGGAGTGGTTTGGAGGGGAGTACGCCGAGGATGTGTCCTACCAGCTAGTAGGAGCAGACAGCGATGGGATTAGCAAGGTGCGTCATCGACTCTCGGAGAATTCTAGGGTTTCTGAGTGGTAGCGCAGGGCGTTCTTGTCCACTTCTCGGAGTTTAAGCTCTCGAATGATACTAGTGAGTACTGTCTCGGAACACGGGTTCGCTGCTCGGCCTTGTCGCAAGCATCATCAATCATAAAAGATGGTCAAACGACGTGGGAAGACAGGTGCCTCTTTGAAAGCGCGCCAGGAGCTCATCTTCTGTGTACTGCAAGTCGAACAACTTTGTTTTGTGCTCAGGGCGGCGGTCCGATGACTAAGAGACACTGCAATTGACCACTGTGCTTATCAGCCACGACGCCCTGGATCGCGCTGGTCTCCTGTGACGCTAACTCCACCGATGCGTCCATGGAGGACGACATCTTCACACTCGCCCGCGACAGGGGCGCCGTCTCTGCGGTCAGTCCTCGCTCCATTCCATCGACTATGCGCTGATACAACATGTCCCTAGCTCCTCTATTCTGCGTACAGCGAACGCTGCGTTATCAACCCTGACTATGCGAACCCTGAGAACTTCGATCAAGTGATGGACATATTCTCCTCGCCGTCGCTCTCCGCGTCGCAGTACGTACTCACGCTCTCTCTCTGCCTCTCGCTCGCCTCCGCTGACGCTCACATGTCCGCCCGTAGGATGATCGAGGTCGAGTACAAGGCCCTCAATCAGTCACAGTACCAAAACTTCAATGCCACGCTGCTCGACGAGTCTGTGGCCATCGTGAACGCCTCGCTCACGCTCGGCACTATAAAAGCCCCGAATTTCCTCTTTGCCGCGCTCGTTGCTTCGAATGCAACAGGAGACTCTAGTTTGGGGGGCAACGGGAGCAACTCGGAAGTCTCATCAACCAATGGTGACCCGTCGTCGAACCCTCGATCCAGCCTCGCCATGTAAGAAACTCGCCTTGTTTTGTGGTGAATGGAGAGCTGATTGAATTCACCCGGCAGGATAATTCTGTACGTTATCACGGGCTGTGTGTCCGCACTTTTCTGTGTAGTGATCATCTCAGGTGTAAGTAACGCACCCAGGCACTTAGCAGTGTATTTCCTGACATGTTTGGCAGGCCGTTCGTGCCATCCGACACCCCGAGCGCTATGGGCCTCGTGCAGGCGGTGAGACAGCAACATTAGGACTATACAATACTCCACGTATATACAGCGTATGCGAAGGCCAGCAATATCGAGTGTGCAGGGCGAGATATCGAGTGTGCAGGGCGAGATATAATACACGGCAACAGATCCGAAAAGCACCAAAAACAGGCAGAGAACGAGAGCAGAAAGAGGAAAGACGGGGGAGCATGTGATACAGGCATCATAGTCCTCAGAGCGTCGTCTCGGGAGCTGGAGGCATGGGAGGATTCGTCGGGTCATATCCGTGCGGGACGCCCTCGCGATTACGACGTCTCGTGCGCCGAGCCAGACGAATGTACCGGGAAAACCTTGCTCCGGCAGTCGACAGTGGCCTGCTGTTCCCAAACTCGGGCGGTGGAGGGAGATCACCGTGGCCGTCAGTCGAGTGCATCATCGTTTCGAGCACATGAAAGTCTGCGTCATAATGAGCGCACAGGAACGGTACGATGAGGCAGTAGAACGCACCTTGTCGACAAAGCGGACAGCTGCCTGAAAGTTCGAGCAACCACTGGTCGACGCACTGCTGATGGAAGCGATGGTGCCCTTCGCACGGCAGCACGCGCAAGTCGTCCCCTTCTTCGAAGTCCACGATGCAGATCGGACACGTTTCGCGACCAATGGCGTCAGGGACGAGATCTTGGTCGCCCATGCTCATGGCGGAGGACGTGGACGCTTCGGCACGTGCAGCTGGTATCCTCGGCCTGACCACGGGCGTTGACAGCTGAGACGAGCTCGAGCCCGCCTCGAGACTCCCACGCCGCATCTCCTCTGAGACCCCATATGCGGGCTCCTTGTCGTCTTCATTGTCCGTAGCCAGCATCGCCCGGACAGCAGGCAGCTCAGCAAGCTCGAGCTGTTCCGTGTGCCGCGTCTTGTTTACCTCCACGGTTGCCGCCTCGATGTCCTTCGGTATAGGCACCGGCGCCCTCGCGTCCTCCACGCGATCGAACTTGACGATCGGGAACGTATCGAGGATGGCGCGTGTTAGCCCGCGGGCACGACTTTGCGACGTGACGAACGCAGCGCCTTCAGGCCCATACGTCTCTTCGTCATGTGCGCCTAGGGCCTAGGCTTGCGTCGTCCGGGGACAAGATGGGCCGAAGCGCGGTTTCGGGACACGCGCCACTCTGACAGCATGTGACGCAGATGCGTCGCCCGCTCCACGACTGCTGCGAGGAGGGCCCCACCGTCGATGACGACGCGCCCGCTATGACGCGATTTTTCGTCCCAGAGCGGGCCCGGCGGGAGGTATATAAGGCTCGACGCGAGTATAAATCGTCCTCACCAACCGAATACCCACTCATCTCTGTACTCCACAACTCCAAGCACTTCTTATAATCATCATGTCCGACAACTTCCGCGAGTCTTTCACCGACAAGGCCGGCGCTGCGATCAAGGTACGGACAAGTGCTTTGCATGTCGTGTGACACGATGCCGACGATGCGCCTGTGCAGCCCGACTCTGAGAAGTCCACCACCGAGCACTTGGGCGATAAGCTCAAGGGGAACGCTGACTCCGCTGCGTCCACTGTTCAGCCTGCGGTAAGTCGCTACCGTCTTCTGCACTAGATGGCGCGAGATTTTAATAAATCTGCTTTAGAGCCAGAAGTCCACCACCCAGCAGGTCGGTGATGCCGTCTCCGGCAACAGCAACGAAGGCACTCAGGTAATGTGTACGCGATGCGCATGGTGGCTATCCGCGCTCACGTCATCGCTTTGCAGCCCTCGATTGGCCAGCGCGTCAAGAACGCTGTTGGTCTCGGCGAGAACAACAGCTCGTAAGGTACCGCAATGCAATCTGTATCATTAGTGTACTCTCGGATGGCATAATACAGTTGTAAATTTGTTGGCTACCTTTTCTGTGCGAAACCTATCATGCTCGTGGGCATAGCAACATAAGTTCGCAGCCTTAGGGCACCAATGGTATTGATGGTGGGAGACGCAATGTAACCTATGGTATAATAGCGCAAAGCTACGGTTAGGCTTCTGCACATAATGAGAATGTAGAGCTGCCAACTTCACTATGATAACACCAAATCCAATAAGATGACATATCAACACCGTAGCAATTGAGATAAACCCAATCTGAGGACTAATTCCCAGTTTCCCAGTTCTTTTGCCCGATGCACACACCGACCAACTGGCAGGTGAGGAACACAGAGCAAAGGAAAAGAGATAGGGATCCCCCGACGACGCAAGCCGGTACTGCAGTGGCAAGGTCATCACGCCCCCGAGTTGCAAGCAGAGCTCGAGGGACAAGGGCGGCAAAAATTTGATAACCAATAATGAGGGCGGTGCCCTCATAATAGTGGTTAAACTATTAAGAACAGATACTACACTTGATCTAAGCCAAAAGGCCAGAGTGGTAAGGATTCACAGCAGGCAGGCGCAGATTCTTATAGCAGCGCGCGCGCACGGACCTTTTGCTTATGTAAGATAATCTGGGCAGTTCGGGAGCTTGCTTGAATTGGCGTCCCATCGGCGTGGTGGCGTCGATGACCCGGCGGAGGCCGGAAGGCCATGGCAAGACCCAGTCTCGGTCACTTCTCCTTCATCTCGTCTGTTTCGCTCCGTACTCTGAATAGTTTATTTTGCATTCTCTGAACCCAGTCAACATGTAATGGGAATCTTTGGGCGCAGTATTACAACAAGTACAAGCCAGCAATCTTGCCAGCCGTCAATCAGGCTGTTACTGGTCAGGGCGCCGTGATGGTCGCATTCACTCCAAGGTTCAAACTGCACCGAAATCCAACAGCTCACAATCTGTCACAAAAGACCTGTACATTTGTTCTGTATACCTGTTGCCACTAATGAATCACGATGGGCTTAAGTATCTACGATATTCGCTGGTTGCTATGCTCGCTGTTCGGATCTGCTGACCTCCGGATCCAAGGCCGTCTTTCTCTACGCATATATACTTTGTGACATGAAGTATCATTGTCTTGCATCCTAGTGGATTCTCATGCAGCAGCTTTGCATTGATGTCGCTGGCCGACATGGAGAACCTGAACACACAGGATGTGTTCAATGCGTATGTCAAGTGACCTCTATCTCGTCAGCTCAAATCGTTGATGCTCTCTTCTGAAGGACTATTGGCACGTACTTGGAACTTGTGGCCACTAGTATGTAGTGGAAGAGCTATTTATCCCAATCTACCAGCTGATAATCTTGCAGTTCTTTTCTGCTACGACTGTCTGCTGACCGTTTCAGAGGAGATTGCACATATCTGGAGGCGTAAATTCTCGCTGACCACCTATCTCTACCTCATAAACAGATACATCATGTTTGCCAACCGCCTCGCACGCTTCGCTGGCATGGCATCACGGCTGCACCAAGCTCCAAGTCACGCTGACGATGTATGTGTCTTTGCGCTGTTAGTGCTTTGAGTTCTGTGCGTCTTATCTTTCACCACAGATGTAAGCTCCTTGCTTCAAGTTTTGACTATAACTCTCACGTTGCGCAGATGTAACGGCATCTGGCGTTTCAGTGAGACGTGCACCATGATCATGCACATCACAATGGCAGGCGAGTTAGAATCTTGACACCATGGCAACTTCGCCGCAAAGCCTAATTCACCCTCGCCCGGCAGCGTTTTCTGCTCTGCGCATATATGGGATATCTAACAGAAGCTGCATATCGGCTGCGCTTGTGCTGGCGATAGGACTTGTGGGACCCGGCGTGAACTTTGTAAGCTACCGTTCTGTGCATAGATTATTACCTTGGATTGAACATCTTAACAGTACTATGATTTCAAGCTGGACATACGCGCACAATTGCCTCCTCTGGTAGGATGCAATCAGTATAGCTCTCTTGAGTCTACTGTCGATAATAAGATATTGTGAGCCCCATATTCTACGTAGCTTTGTAGTGCTCATACACAGCTCCTTCACATTAAGCTGTGAGTGTGCATGTTCGCTGAGCAGAGCAAGCGCTTTTCTGAAGTATCCACAGTGGCCGTTGGATCGGTCTTTACCTTCTTCACGGAGAGCGTCGTCCTCTTAATAACATGGTTCAAAACAGCAAGACTGATGTTCGCCTTGCAAAAACTCCACATCGACTCGCCGCTTTTTGCGGCGTTATGGAAAGACGGTGAGTACCGTTAACCCTCCAGGACGTGCTTGATACTGACATCAAGCTGAGGCACAATGTATTCTGGGTATGTCCCCAGTCACATTCTCCGCGAGCGTTCGTAGCTGACAGTGCACGAGCATTCTTCTTGTCCTTGCTGGCCTCAGTCTACTCTCTGTCAACCAATCGGTAAGACTTGACTCGATGACCCACCTCTCACCATCCTTACCTTACGTTCGTTGTCAGTTATATGCCGACGTGCCCGCGTTGACCGACGTGTAAGTACTGCTGCTGCCAGCAAGAGACCTTGCAGTGCTATTGGATGCTGACCATATTTTGTCAGATTATTCTCCATAGCGCTCTCCCGCTTCACTTTCAAGCTCCGGGCCCTTGGCGACGCGGCTAGTAGTTCGCAAAACACGAGTCTTCAGTTTGCTTGGCCCCCGATCGATGAACGTAGCACCGGTGGAGCGTCGGTGGAGGACGGACGGGCGCACCCCCGCGTTCAGGTATAGCTCAGGAGCACACTAGCTTGTTTTCGAGACGCTCTCTGCTTTCGTAGGATAGCGGCCCAGGTGTACCAGCCGAGATGATAAATGGTGTCTAACGATGGGACACCCAACACTCACCTGCCAGTCAACACATGCTACTGGCCCATGACTGGAGAGGTGTTCACGAAGTGTACTTGGCAGCTCGTTCCTCTATGCCATACGGTGTCACATGAATATGCGTGATAGAGCGATTTTTGAGAGCTTGAATTGAATCCAATGGTTAAATGATGTATTGCATTCATCGTGAATGGATTGAGAGCAAGAGTCGTTCCCGTGTTGGAAAAGGAGCATGGGCGCACCAGGCACTGCAACGTTACATATTCACTCCAACGTGCCGTGATATTTGTGCAGAAAAGTATTTTATTTTATTTTTATTTTTATAAACTGCCAGGAGACGAATATTCCAGGATGTATACGACATGATGCGTGGCTCAGCGCCACATGCAATGCATAGTGGCAGGGGCAGGAAAAGGTCAATGTTCAAGAAAATAAGGCTACTTGGTCTTGACCGCCTCCTCCATGTACAACCACAGGCGCTTACCAATCTCGGGGTCGTACATCTGAGCTTGCGTCTTGCCCGGGCGAGCGTATGGAATGATGAACTACAGATGGCATTAGAGCGCGTTAATGTTGCTTTTTGAAACGTACATACCTCGCCATTATACTGAATCGCCTCCTCCATCGTCCCGACCCACAGCTGCGTAAGTGTACCGTACCACAGCTCGTGTGACGTGAAGTCCTAGGGGTAATCGAGTCAGGCTTGTCATTCCGTTTACAGAGACTCGTCCTCACCGTGAACTTCTGCTGAAGGGGACTTGCATTGCGCTTCAGTTCGGTTTTGATTGCACCGGGGTCGCAGGCGAAGCAGAGGATGCTCATGTCCTTATAACGCTTGGAAGACTCGTGTGCGACAACGGCATTGAGCTTTTGCATCTCAGTTAGCCGCATTCGGTAATGTACTCATGGGCGATGCAACCCACCAGCTTGCTTTAGGTATACAGCATGCCTATACCAAGCTTCTAACGGCTCGGATGGTCGCGGAGCGTGTTCCAGTCGATGGGCCCGGCGACATGCGCACCATGGCTACTCGCCGTTGCGATGCGCGCATAGCCGTCAGGGGAGCTCTTTGCGTCTGCTTGCAGCGCGGACAGGAGCAGCTGTGTGAAGTACCAGTGCCCGAGGACGTTCGTGCCGAACTGCAAATCATATCCCTCTGCCGTGAGCTGTTCTATCGGTGGGACCATCACGCCGCTGTACCTGTTGCGTCAGATCTGAGAGTTCCGAAGGAACGAGGCGGAGACGTACGCATTGTTGAAGAGAATATGCAGCTCGCGCTCTTTGCTTAGAAACTCTTCCGCAGCCTTGCGCACTGACGCAAGGTTCGCAAGATCCAGCTCTAGAAATATGGCGTCCCTGCCTGTCGCGTCCTTCAGGTCTTTGATAGCAGCCTCGGCCTTGGCCCGGGTCCGCGCAGCAAGGTACACCTTGGCGTTGTGCTGCAGGAGCACCTTCGCAGTCTCTTTGCCCACGCCGGTGTTCGTGCCTGATGTCCAGGCTCAGCACATGCCCGGGGAGTAGCTGTGGAAGGGGCGTACCAGTGACGATGGTGACCCTACCAGTCAGGTCTGGGATCTGGTCGGTGGAGAATTTAGGCTCGGGCGGCCATATGGCACGCACCGTCCGATAGAGATTTGTCATGGTGCTGGACATTTGTAGATAGTGAAAATGTTGCAACAAGAACAGGAAAGAGGGAGGGAGTGCATTGCTGCTGGCTTCACGCAGGGTCGCCAGTTTTGCCTGTCAACGCGTTTCACCTGGGATCAACATCGATAACGTCGATTCTGGACTAGTCGCATAAGATCTATGGGCAGTGATTGACCGCCTTGCACTTTACTGCGTGGTAAAATTGACCAAAGTCATTATTATATCCCGCCGATACTCGCTTGCGGAGTGTGCGCAGAATAATGTTTGCTGACATGGCTTTGGTGACACATTGCAGGGGATCGCTAGCCGAGTAAAGGGCCGTGGGGCCGTTGCTACACTTAAATGCGCCTGAAAATGATAGGTAGGACAAGACCTATTTTTCGTAAATTCGATGCAGAGTCCGATTGGAAGGAAAAGCTGTTGAATCACCTAGCACTTCGGAAGCAGTGAAACGGAACGAGATGACTGGTTTTTCGCTGTTTCTCTCAGACGAAAAGTGGAGGTTCTCGCCATTTCTGTGAAATAAAATCTGCAGTTCTCAGGCAACGCAGAAGACGATGGCGGAAAGTGAGCATTTCCTCGGTGTTGACCTCATGAGCGAACTTGTACTGATGCTAGGCCGCTCGCCGACGCGTCCGGAGATACCCGGCTAAGCCTTAGCTTGGTGGCGCATGTCTCCGTCTTCTCGTCATGGTCCGCCACCAGCGTCGCTTGCGCGGTACGTCGTCAAAAGTTTTAAATCGTCAGATATATTGCCAGACTTCTTAACCCAAATACGAGGGCCATGATATCGCGCAGCCTAGCGCGAGGACTCCCTCGTCTGAGCCCTGCCGCACGACGTGGTCTGTCATCATCAGTGCGCTGGCTGCTGCCATCTGTTAACACTGCAGCAAGCTAGAAGCTTGGGCCTGCTAAGCATCAACTACAGCTCATTCACGCGACATCTTCCGGCACGGCAGACCCTCTCCTTGACCTTGACAGTATCGCGTACTACCAAGCTAACCCTGGGCTTTCTCTGGGCTTCATACGAACAGGCGACGACACAGCTGCTCCTCCTGACGAATTTCTTGAAGCCGCCACCGAAAAGCTAAACGACGTAGACCTTCTCTCTCATCTATGGTTGACTCTGCGGCAGCTCCGACCTCTCAACTTCACGAACCGTGAGTGTACTTCCCAGTACTCGGATCTCATTGCAAACCTTCAAACAAGTCGTAGTTTTTCCTATTACATAGATCTCAGTGTCGTTGACGAGCTGGCGGCACTTGCAGCTACAAAGGATCCCCGTGACGGTGTTGGTCTGTGGGCGCGCATGCGACACTACACGTTGAAGAGAAATCCTGATGCAGTGCTGTCCCTTTTCGACATCCTCAGCACACTGATGCTGGAACGTGAAGCCTACCTCAAGCAATTTCAGGGGCATGGTCTCGGGGAATCATACAACCGTTTCATTCATGCCGTAGGCCTGCGAGCGGTCCACCATCCCCGGACAGTCTGCTATTTCCTGACGGCACATGCCATGAAGGGCTCATTCTCTTCCGCGGTGAAAGCCTTCTTGCAAGAAGTCCTTTTCCGCTACACGTATCACTCAATGACTTCGGCTATGCTGGCTATTACGGAAGACTTAGGCCTACTCAACAAAGTGTTGAAATTTGCCTCCCGCGTTCACGCCGCGAAGATGTGCTCTCTCCCCTTGACCACTTTTCGCAGATATGTTGAGCGAATATCAGGCCCAGACAGTGAATCTCGCACCCTCTCGAATGCCAGCAACGCTATCCTCGAAGAGTGTTCGCGGAGTGATACCTGTATCGATCTCAAGGGATCCAAACTTGTTGATTCTGATCGACTCCATGTGGTAAAAGAAGACAAGCACTGGGTCATACTCATCTGGAGACTCATACGGATCCGCCGGTTTGACGTCGCAGAACGTTTTTGGGGCGATGTGAGCAAGCTTGTCTCGCCAATGCCGATGTGTGTCTGGACAGCCGTCATTGATGGATTCGTCT